CGGAGACCCGGCACGGGCGGCGGCGAGCGAGGGCCTCTGGGGAGTCCAGCGCAGCGGCCCTCGCCTGGGCGTTCTCCAAGAAGCTCCGCCCCTTGACGAAGCCGCGCTCTGGGGCTCGGGGCGTCTCCGCGACTGCCGAGTGCGTGCCAGTCCAACTGGCCGCCGCCTCCATCAGCTTCGCGGCGGAGCTCTCGAGCGCGAGGTGGGCGGGTCTTGGCAGGTTCCCGCGCCACCTCCGCCATCGACGGGGCGCCATCCCCTGTCAGGGCGAGCTTGAGCAGCAAGTTCTTAAGGCCTCCTGGAGGGCACGCCCTGCCCATTATGGCGAACCTTCCCGACGTGCCTGCGCTGACTGGTTCCAGAAGCCCGCGCCCAGCCGCGCACGCTATGCCATCGGGGCCGGGTGCCGTGGGGCGGAGCTGTGGTGCCGTACTTTCCACGTCCTCGATGTCAGCGAGCGGCAGCTGGATGTCGGAGAGGCGGGGAAGGTGGCACTGAAGGGAATTATGGATATCATCACATACCACCTCCTCGGCCGCGAACATCGGCACCCAGTGGGCGCGCCTGGCTGCGGCCATTCCAGCAGGGTCGCGGGCCATACCTGTTGTTGCGGGGCGGCAGCGGCGCCTTCGGAAAACGGCTCTGCTGGGCGCGTCGCTGGCTGAAGGATCCCCGCCAAAACCTCGACGCTCTGGAAGGGGCTGCAAAGCCAGGCATCCTGGGCGGCCCGCACAGGCCCTGCCTTTGCAGAAGGCTCCGCATGCCTGGGCGCCGCGCTCCACAGCCGCGGACAAATTCCCCACGGCGGCCTGGCGGTACCGGTTTACAATGGCGGAAGCAGCCGCGCGGATCGCAGCAGCGAAGCCCGCGTGGTCAGAGAGAGAGAGAGAGAGAACGATGCCCGTTTCGGACGCCGCGATCTGGCAGCGCCGGACTGGAGTGCACCAACACGCTGAGGGTGCGGCCGCACTCGCGCTCATGTGCACGAGCCGCAGCGCGGAGGACGAACAACCGCGCGTTTGGATAAAACGCTCTGTCGCTCAGGTCCGGCTCTCTGGCCAGCACGTTGCGCGTAGAGGCAGGCGGCGACTGGGATGTCAATTTTGATGGTATGCCACATCCCAGAGACGGCCATATCATCATCTCAAACGTGGATGCGAACAGAAGGTCATTGCAGATCCGAACAGTTATGGGACAATCCCGTCGGCGAGGGGTCTTGCCATTGCTCAGTTCCAGTACGTGGATGCCGTGGTCGCTGAGCTTCCTGCCTGGAAGTGCTGCTGGGTCTGAAGCGAAGTAGGCGTTCACGGAGATGCCGAAGACAGGCTCTGGCGGGACAGAGACGTAGAGCCGGTCCAACGTCGGCGATTGATCCGGTGCGCGTCATAGTTAGTCGGGGGGTCGACCTTGACCTGCAAAAAACAACCGGGCAGCTGCTGTCAATGCCAGGGTGCAGCGTGATCACGGTGCTGCCGAGTCCGCTGCGGATCAAACTATGATAGATGAACGCCGTCGTCCAAGTTCCGGTCTCCCACCACCATCACCAGCCGCTGCTGCGGGGCTGCGGAAGCCCATCGGCATTATCCCGATACTTCTTCGGCTAAGCGGCGTCGATTGTTGTGCGTCGGGAGGTGGGTGAGGAGAACGGAGGAGGAGAGGGAGGATGAGGATGAGGAGGAGGAGGAGGAGGAGGAAGAAAACGACAACTTCGACGTCGACGACGACGACGACAACGTCGACGACGCCAACCCCCGTGGGCGCCTGGAGAAGCGCCACGTCCTGTCGTCCTGGCGCGAGTAAGTGAACACGATTCCGTTCCCACCTCCGGCGGCGACGATCGTGACGATCGTGACGACGACGACGACGACGGCGACGAGGACGACGGCGACGACGACGACAACAACAACGTCGACGACGACGACGACGACGCCTCGAGCCTGCGTCTGGCGGGTTACGGTTCGGCTCACCCGCCACCTGACCGAAGAATTGGAACATCCGCCGAAGACGCCATATGGCTGCATGGCCCTGGTGAGGGTTTGTTTGAGGGAGGTGTAGGAAGAGGAGGAGGAGGAGGAGGCGGAGGAGGAGGAGGAACACATAGAGAGCTGGAAATGGCAGAAACATGGAAAACTGTCGGAGGTCCGCGCAGGAGTTCTTGGGACGACGCAGGATTCCCCTCCCCCCCCACCCCCTTCCCAGCGCGCAGGGCGGAATAAGGAGGAGGAGAAGGAAGAGCTGGAAGAGGAGGAGAAATTGGAGGATGCATCTCGATCCCGTGCGGCCCTGGCCAGGCATAGTGCCGCATGGTGTCAGCCTGAGACGAGGCAGAGTGCGGACAACATCTGGTTCGGATAACTCGCGGGATCTCGAAGAACGGCGAGTTTGATCACTGTATCAGGCGCGCTCCCCAGACTAGACAGACCTCCGATGTCTTGAGTCTTGTCATACGGGGCCCCCAGAGCTCTGGACCACTCCCCCCGATCCGGTGTTTCGTCCTGGAAATCTATTTTGCGGACCAAAGGGTCCGGCGAGGGCCCCCGAGAATTAAGACAAACCTGCACCTTGATCTGTTCAATACGTTGGAGGGCTGGCTCTGCCGTCTTCCTGCCGCTTGCCTGGGGCCCATTCCTGACCTCCTCACTGGTGGCGTCCTGGCTTCGGTGCCTCTTCGTGGGAGCGCACTCTGGGCCGCGGCCCTCTGCACAGCCTGCTCGGTGTGGCCCGCTCCTAGCTCCGGCACGCACATACGCACATTCCCAGGTCGGCCAAGGCCCTGTCGCGAAGACCGGCCAGCTGGCTATCGAAGTTTCTGCCCACGCACAGAATATAAATCACAATCACTTTTTGTCTACGCACAAAATAATAACCGGTCATTGAATCTTGCTTATTCTTTCGAAGATAAGATCGTGGGTCAGCGAAGGGCGGAAAGTGGGAATCGGTGCCACATGGCTCCCAAACCCAGTCTGGCCAAATAGGACAGGCTGACCCCGGTTAGCACTGACCCCCGTTACGTGAGCCCTGACTGGCTCAGGACACCACGAACCAAGCCAGCTACAGGCAGTCAGCGCACTTCCGCAGCTCGGCCCCCGTGGACCGAAGCCTGCCGACGCGACAGTGCACCAAACCCGAAAGCGCCAATGCCTCAGGACAAATACGTAACGGTGCACCTGGCGCTCCAGAGTGTCCATAGCAGGCGCCCCTGCGGCCGCCAGATGAGGGCGGGGGGTGTTAACTGGAGCGACCTCTCCGCGCATCCTCATCCTGCCCGACAGCCCTCGATGCCGGCACCACCCCGAGCCTTCGATGAGGTACAGGGGGTCCATCGCCTGCCCCTCCCCGCCTCGTTTGTGCGCGCGGCCAAGGCGACAAACAGCACCGCGCGCCCCGAAATCCTCATCCCTTCCCTTGCTCTTCCGTTCTGTCCTTCCCTTCCTTTTTCACATAACTTCCTCCTCCAAGCCAGGGCAGGTCCACTGCACTGCAGTCCCTGTGGGGGCCTCCCAGATGGGGTTCAGACAGATGGGAGTCGAAGGATCGCGGCGCATCGCCGATGCCTCGTCGATACGTCGCTGATGCATCGGCAACGTCGGCGATGCATCGACGCTGTCGGGGTTGAGAAAATTGAGCTCCACATCGAGCAGCATCGCCGATGCATCGGTGATGCGGCGCGATCCTCCGACCCCATTTGCTCGGACCCCATGCGGGAGGCCCTGGCACCCCTGGTGCACTCATCCCACCGAGCCACTCCCCAGCCCCCCGGTTTCTCCGCTGCGTGCCTTTTTTTTCACAACGTGTCCCCTGGAGCTCTGGACCCCATCCGCAGGGCCAGCTAGTCGCCACGGATCGTTTTCTGATGAGGGGCTGGAAACAACCGCAGAAGGAGACCTGACCGGACAAGAACGGGAAGCGTCGCTTTTGTTCACTACGTCTTTTGTTGGTCTGGCGCGCAGATGTGTCGTGGCGTGCGTGCGTTTGCGCGCGCGCGCGTGCGTGCGTGGAATATGTGCATGTGTGTCCGTGCGTGTTATGCCGTGCTGCTCTGCCGTGCTCCTGCGGTCTGCGTGAACGTATGTTGCCTCTCTGTGTGTGCGTGTGTGCGTGTGCGTATGTGTCTGTGTGTGCGTGTGCGTGCCTGTGTGCATGTGCCTATATGCATGTGCCCGTGGGTGCGGCTGTGTGAATCGATGCTCTATGTGTTCTGCCGTGCTTCTGCGCGTTCTGTCGTGCTCCTGTGTTTTCTGCCGTATTCTGCCATGGTCCTGCGCTGCCGTGCTCCTATGTGTTTCTGCCGTGTTCCTGTGTGTTCTGCCGCGCTCCTGTATGTTCTGCGGTGATCCTATGTGTTCTGCCGTGCTCCTACGTACTCTGTGTGGTCTGCCGTGCTCCTCGTGATCTTGTGTGTTCTGCCGTGTTCCTATGTGTTATGCCGTGCTCCTGCGTGTTCTGCCGTCAGTTCTGCCGTGCTCCTGTGTGTTCTGCACCGCCTGCACCCCAGGCTCCGCGCGCTCCGGCCTCCTGAGGCCCCGCCTTCCTGTGCCCAGTCTCCCTAATTAAAACTGTGCGTAGCCCGCCTAGCTTTTAGCGGAAGAGGTTCGCTCTCGCCCCGCCGACCAAAAATCCAGTGTCCTGCCGTGTTCCTATGTATACTGCCGGGCTCCTGTGCGGTCTGCCGTGATCCTGTGTGTTCTGCCGTGCTGCTATGTATTCTGTGTGTTCTGCCGTGCTCCTCGTGCGCCTGTGTGTGTTCTGCCGTGCTCCTATGTGTTCTGCTGTGCTCATGTTTGTTCTGCCGTGATCCCGTGTAATCTTTCGGTTAAGTTAAAGTTAAAGACGGGGCCTTCAAGGCAAAAGGGGTGCCCAAGGCAAAAGGGAAACCCCAGCGACACCAAAACGGGGCGGCCCCCTCGGGCCTGGGCAGGCGGAAGGGCCAAACCCCCTCAGACGCCCAACCCCCCCACCGAGGCGAGACCAGATCTACATACATAATGCAACTGCACGCCTCACTCAGCCTGGCCGAAGACCTGAGCCGCCTCGAGCAACCGCAGCCCCTCGGCCAGATCGCCGCTCAGGATTGCCGCCTGGGCCGCCTCGGTCGCAGCCAGCCGCCCCTGCGCACGCACGCCAGGGGCATCGGCCTCGAGGCTGCTTTCAGCGTCCTCGCGCCTGGAGCCCGTGCGCTCCAGCCAGGCAGCGCGCGCAAGCTCGTACTCCGCGGCCTGCTCGCTGCCGTCCGAGAACTCGTCACGCAGGAACTGCCCGTGCTCAGACCCGAGATCCTCGAACTCCGAGTCCCCCACGAAGCTGTCCTCGCCGTGTTCCTGGGGCTCCACCTCGATCGACTCCTCGAGGCTGGCCTCCCAGGCTTCATCCCTGGCCCTCAGACGGGCTTCCAGGGCAGCCCGCCAAGCTTCGCCGCTGGCCCTCATACGGGCATGAAAGCCGAAGTCCTGCTCCGCTTCAGGGTAGCCGACACCGAAGCCGTCGCCGCTGCCGTGCAATGCCGTGCTCCCGTGCTCCGCCTCTCCCAGGGCCGAGTCGTAGGTATCGAAGCCGTCGTCGCTGCCTGGGCCCGCCAGGCTCTCCAGAAGCAGCGGCGGCCGCGGCGCTCTCTCGCCTGCAGTACCGCCTTGCACACCATCGCGCGCACGACACGGCGCATGGAGGGCGGCCCTGCCGTCCTCCTCCATCGCCGCGCCTGCCTCCCAGACCCCCTCACGGGGAGGGCCAGGCTCTGCCCTGGCGGCAGGGGCAGGCTGCCCGCCGCCGCACGCACCGTCGCAGCAGACCTCCCATACGCCGCGAAGGACGAGGAGGGCACGCACTGCTCCTGCAGCACCACGCCGTCGCCGCCCCGCGGAGCGCCGGAGGCCGTCCCAGCAAGGCGCCAGCCCGCGTCGAAGCCCTCCCGGAAGGCCCTCGCCCCAGCCAGTGGGTCAGCGACCAGCCAAACGCCTGGCGGGGGAGGGAACGCACCGCCGCTCGCCTGGGCGTCAGCCTCCGCCAGGAGCTCCGCTTCAAGATCAGCGACGTGAATGGCATCTGCGCCCACAGCCCGCGGCTCCACCTCCGCTGAGCTCGCCGCTACGGCCGACCTCGGGCACGGAAGGCGCGGCCCGCGCTGCGCCCTCCTCCAGGCGGCCCGCGGGGCGCCAGGCCGCGGGAGGACCCGCGCGTGGCACCCCACATTGCGCTCGAGGATGCGCTCCTCCTCCAGTGGCCCGCCGTGCTCCTGGGCGATCAGCACGGGCGCCACAAGCGCCAGGCGGCGCAGGACGCTGGGGGGGGCCGATGCCAGGCTCCGCAGCTCCACGAACTCGGACGCCTGGCGCTCCACCAGGCGCTCGCGGGAGAGGGCCGCCCAGCGCTGTGCGGCCCGCCGCACGCGCTGAGGCCTCCACACCGCCTCAGACGGCCGCCACGGCCGTCTCCCCGCTGCCATCGCTCCCAAGCCCGCACCCTCCAGCGGCACCCTCACGGCCATGCGCGCACAGCACGGGAGACCGAAGGGCGGGCCACGGGAAATGGCTTGAACCAAAATGGCTACGGAGGGTAATCTTTCGGTTCTGCCGTGCTCCTGTGTGTTCTGCCGTGCTCCTGTGTATTCTCACGTGCTCTCGCGCGTTCTGCACTGCCTCTGCGTGCTGGGCTGCCGTGATGCTGCCCATGTTCTGAAGATGTCCCAGGCGAAAAGTTCAGCCTTTTCAGCATCGCGTGTTTTCTAGAATGTCTCAGGCGGTGTCCCTATTTCCATACGCTTGCTAAATTCGCGGTGTTCATTTTCTGGTGGATGTCTCAGGCGAAATGCTTGGTTTTGTGAAAGACGGTGTTGCGAACAACTCATGTTTTGAGGATGTATCGAGCGAAAGACTCATGATGATGAATATCGAGGTCACCCTTGGGATCATTTTGGGGCTCGTTTGGAGCTCGTTCGGGGCCGTTTGGATGCCATCCAAACGATGCCAATGCGATGTAACACGCATCACGCATCTCTTGTTTGAGGATGTCCCCAGCTAAATTGTCATATTTAGAAGCCTGGCTTAGGACGCCTGGAAACCTTCTCAAGAGCGACCCCACGACGATGTTAGAACAGCAGTTGTCAAAACGATGCTGCTGTCTATTGTCATTTGTTTGAGGATGTCCCTAGCGAAATCATCATGCCCAGCACTCTTCAGGGCGCTCTTGGAGCCGTCTGTGGGTCCTTGTTGGGCTCTCATTCCTCCTTCATGAAGCACTTCGAGTACGATGTCAAGACGATGTTGAGAACATCGCATGGTTTAAAGATGTCCCCAGCGAAATGCAAATGTTCTGCCGTGCTCGTATTTCTGGTCCGCCGTGCTGCCGCTCATGTTCTGAGGACGTCCCTAGCGAAAACGTAGTTTTCAACATAAGAGATGGTAATCCACCTCCGTCGACACCTCATTTTGGCTAGGATGTCTCGCGCGAAACGCAACTTTTACAGATGCATGAAATTCGCGGCGGTCAGCGTTTCGAGAATGTCTCGAGCGAAATGCTTCTTGTTGTTAAACGCGTGTCGCGGAGATGTCAATGTTGTGAGGATGTCCCAGGCGAAATCGCCATTCTGGGGAACCTTTCCTGACATGAACGGGAAGCGCGTGAAAGGGAAGAGTTGCGCAAGAACTTGCAGCATCATCGCGATCACATCTGATACAGGCGAGCTCTCCGAACGCTCTCAAGGGATACGTATCGACACGCGCCCCCCGAGCGTTCACCTCCGCGCGAGGACGACGGCGAAGATGACGAACGGGAAAGAAGGGAGAGGAGGACCAGGAGGAGGAGGAGGAGGAGGAGGAGGAGGAGGGGAGGGGAGGAGGAGGAGGAGGAGGAGGAGGAGGAGGAGGAGGAGGAGGAGGAGGAAAAGGAGCATCAGCAGCAGAAGAAGAGGGTGAGGAGGGGAGGGGGAGGAGGACGAGGAAGAGGAGGAACAGGAGCAGGAGGGGAAAAAGGACGACGAGGAGGAGGAGGAGAAGGGGAAGGAAGAAAAACGGGAGGAGGAGGAGGAGGAGGAGGAGGAGGAGGAGGAGGAGGAGGAGGAGGAGGAGGAGGAGGAGGAGGAGGAGAGGGAGGAGGAAGAGGACGAGGAGGAGGCGGAAGAACAGGAGCAGGAGAAGGAGGAGGATGAGGAAGAGGAAGAGGAGACCGAGGAGGAGGAGGAAGGAGAAGGAGGAAGAAGGCGAGGAGAAGGAAGAGGAGAAGGAGGAAGAGGAGGAGATGAGGATGAGGAGGAGATGAGGATGAGGAGGAGGAAGAACAGGAGGAGGAGGAGGAGGAGGAGGAGGAGGAGGAGGAAAAGGAGGAGAAGAAGGAGGAGAAGGAGGAGGAGGAGGAAGAGGAGGAGGAGGAGAAGGAGGCGGAAAAAAACAAATAGTTTTGAGGGCCCGTTCGAAGGATTTGTTTAGGGGATGTCTCGAGCGAAACGCTGATTATTAAACGAAAGTGTTCAAGCCCCATGGGTTGTTGAATAATTTCGCTTCTTGGGCAATCTTGGAGGTCATCCGAGATCGTTCCGAAACGATGCCTTACAAGAGCTACTGGCGCATCCCAGTTGTTCGAGGGTGTCTCAGGCGAAACTCCCATGTTTAGCAAACGACGTCTTCAGATACGACCCCCGGCTTCACGATTTGGCGACGATGCCTCAGGCGAAAAACTCGTTTTTTTTTCAAACCTTTTCTGACATGTACGGGAAGCGCGTGAAAAGGAATAATTGCGCAAGAACAGGCAGCACCATCGCGATCAAATGTAATACAGGCGAGCTCTCCGAATGCTCACAAGCGAATGGTCCCCATGGGGAGAAAGCACCAGCCTGAGACTTCCTCGCGAGTCACTCACAGACGAGGCTCCCCCTGACACTTCCCCCATATTCAAGCCTCAGGAGCCCAAGAGTGACGACAGTTACAAAAACATGAAAAAGAGGGCCCCATAAGGAGAAGACTCCCGCCTGAGACTTCCTCGCAATTCACTCACGGACGAGGCCCCCGCCTGATACTTCTTCAATATTCAGGCCTCAGAAACCCAAAAATGACGACGGTTACCGGAAGCCGATGACCCTCCTCGGATTCGAACGTGAAGCGCGGGCCCTATGGGAAAGGGGGCTCATTCTGAGACTTCCTCGCAATTCACTCACAGACGAGGCTCCCGCCTGACACTCCATATCCAGGCCTCAGGAGCCCAATGACGACGGTTACAAGAGGTCGATGACCCACCTCGGATTCGAACGTGAAGTGCGGGCGCCATACAGAGGGGGCTCCCGCCTGAGACGTCCTCGCAATTCAATTACAGCCTGAAATTTCCTCCATATTCCGGCCACAGGAGCACAACAGTGACGACAATTACAGGAGGCCGAAGACCCGCCTGGGACTCGAACGTGAAGCGCGGGCCCCATAAGGAGGGGGCTCCCACCTGAGACTTCCTCGCAAATCACACAGACGACCCGTCCGAGACGACACACAGGCGCGTGACGATCATGATGATGTGAGTGATGGTAATGATTGGGATGATGATGAGGACCCGCGCGTGGCACCGGGATGACCCGCGCGTGGCACCCGCGCCAGGCCGCGGGAGGACCCGCGCGTGGCACCCCACATTGCGCTCGAGGATGCGCTCCTCCTCCAGTGGCCCGCCGTGCTCCTGGGCGATCAGCACGGGCGCCACAAGCGCCAGGCGGCGCAGGACGCTGGGGGGGGCCGATGCCAGGCTCCGCAGCTCCACGAACTCGGACGCCTGGCGCTCCACCAGGCGCTCGCGGGAGAGGGCCGCCCAGCGCTGTGCGGCCCGCCGCACGCGCTGAGGCCTCCACACCGCCTCAGACGGCCGCCACGGCCGTCTCCCCGCTGCCATCGCTCCCAAGCCCGCACCCTCCAGCGGCACCCTCACGGCCATGCTCGCACAGCACGGGAGACCGAAGGGCGGGCCACGGGAAATGGCTTGAACCAAAATGGCTACGGAGGGTAATCTTTCGGTTCTGCCGTGCTCCTGTGTGTTCTGCCGTGCTCCTGTGTATTCTCACGTGCTCTCGCGCGTTCTGCACTGCCTCTGCGTGCTGGGCTGCCGTGATGCTGCCCATGTTCTGAAGATGTCCCAGGCGAAAAGTTCAGCCTTTTCAGCATCGCGTGTTTTCTAGAATGTCTCAGGCGGTGTCCCTATTTCCACACGTTTGCTAAATTCGCGGTGTTCATTTTCTGGTGGATGTCTCAGGCGAAATGCTTGGTTTTGTGAAAGACGGTGTTGCGAACAACTCATGTTTTGAGGATGTATCGAGCGAAAGACTCATGATGATGAATATCGAGGTCACCCTTGGGATCATTTTGGGGCTCGTTTGGAGCTCGTTCGGGGCCGTTTGGATGCCATCCAAACGATGTCAATGCGATGTAACACGCATCACGCATCTCTTGTTTGAGGATGTCCCCAGCTAAATTGTCATATTTAGAAGCCTGGCTTAGGACGCCTGGAAACCGTCTCAAGAACGACCCCACGACGATGTTAGAACAGCAGTTGTCAAAACGATGCTGTTGTCTGTTTTCATTTGTTTGAGGATGTCCCTAGCGAAATCATCATGCCCAGCACTCTTCAGGGCGCTCTTGGAGCCGTCTGTGGGTCCTTGTCGGGCTCTCATTCCTCCTTTATGAAGCACTTCGAGTACGATGTCAAGACGATGTTGAGAACATCGCAT